CACCTCACTGGCACTCAGACCCCACCTCACCCCCAGGGAGGGGGGTGAAAGCAGCCCCAGAGCCCCAAACCTGAATCCCCAGCCTCAGGGGGTGCCAGGACCCCTCACCACACCTACCTGGCCCATCAGGATGGAGATGCTGGCCAAGGACCTGGGATGCACAAGGGCAGAGGTTGAGCTCAGGGCTGTACCCAGGCAGGCTGCAGGGTACAGGGGGTGCCAGGGGTACTGGGGGCACCATTGGGCCCTGCCCTGACCTTTGCACTGTCTGCGAGGCCACCAGGAAGGACATGAGGTCACCAGGCGAGAGCTGGTCTCCAGCCATCAGGGAGCCACCCACGAAGATGGTTCCCAGGACGATGCCTGAGGGGTGGGGACAGAGCTGGGGTTTGAAGGGGACATGCAATAGGGACATGGAGGAGGTCCTGTCCCACGGCACAGCCCCCAGGCCCCACCGTGCCCCCACTCACCGTTGAGCGCCAGGTTGGAGAGCCCCTGGAAGGCGGCGATGCCCAGCCCCAGCCGCTCGCTCAGACGTCCGGCACGGTCCACCTCGGCACGGAACAGCCTGGGGCAGGCATGGGCTGGGGTCCCCCCTGCCACACGCCCACCTCCCCCGAGCCCCAGCCCTCCCCTTACCCTGCCTGCTGCTCCTCCATGGCGAAGGCGCGCACCGTCCGCACGTTGCCCAGCGCCTCGTCGGCCACCACGGTGGCCTTGGCCACCTGCAGGGACAGCGGGGACATGGAGACGTGCCACGCTGTGTGGGGCGGGCAGGACAGGGGCTCTCGGGTGAGGGCTACCTGCTCCTGTGCCTGGCGGGACAGGCTGCGCAGGAAGGCGCCGATGAAGGCGCCGGCGCCCACCAGGGCCGGCAGCGCCACGAGCAGCAGCGCCGTGAGCCTGGGCGACAGCAGGTACAGCGACACGAAGCAGCCGGCGGTCTGCGTGCCGCTGCGCAGGCCCTGCGGGGACACAGGGGCTGGGGGGACCACCAGGATTGCCCAGGACGTAGCTGGGCTCAGCTGGCAGGTGGTGGGCTCACCTGGGAGATGGCCAGCTTGAAGGAAGACTTGAACTCCTGGATGTCGGCCGTCAGCCGTGTCACCAGCTGCCCCGTGCGTGTGGCATCAAAGAAGGCCACCTCCTGCCTGCCGGGGGAGCGGTGGGTGGGGGTCCCCGGGCCCCCGTCTGTCCCGCCCCGTCCCTGCCGGGTTACCTGAGCAGGGCGCTGAAGAGAGCCTTGCGCATGTTGCCGGCCACCCGCTCGCCGACGCGGGCCAGCAGCGCGATGTACCCGAAGGTCAGCAGGCCCTGCGGGACGGGGCGTCAGGAGGGCCGGGGGCACCCCGGGACCCCCCACCCACCCTTTCGGGGGTCGGCACTCACCTGCAGGCAGTAGACGACGGCGAGCAGGCGCAGGGCCGGGCGCCGCACCTCCCGCAGGTAGGTGGCAACGTGGCCGCGGGCACATCGGGCCACCACGTCCACCAGCTGGCCCAGCAGCACTGGGATGCGCACGTTGAGCAGGGCCGCGCCCAGCGCCAGCTGCGGGGACACAGGACAGGGCTGGCACGGCACTGGGACAGGGCTGGCACGGCACTGGGACAGCGCTGTCACAGCACCACGACAGCAGCAGAGGGGTGCCACACCATTGCACGGGGACAGTGGGTGGCCTGGCACAGGACCGGGACAATGGGGTCACGCCGTGGCACTGGGACAGTGGGTGCCAGACCATGGCACTGGGACAGCGGGTGCCACACCATGGCACTGGGACCTGGGACAGCGGGTGGCCTGGCACAGCAGTGGGACAGTGGGTGCCACACCATTGCACAGGGACAGTGGGTGTCACACCATGGCACTGGGACAGCGGGTGCCACACCATGGCACTGGGACAGTGGCTATCTCGTGTCAGCACTGGGATGGTGGCCGTCACACTGTGCCACTGGGACAGCACGTGTCACACAACAGTGGATACCAGGATGGTGGGTGTCACACAATGGCACCAGGATGTCACACCATGGCGTGGGGACAGGTGGTGTCACGTCCCTGCACAGGGACTGTGCCATCACACTGTGGCACTAGGACAGTGACAGGCAGGGATGGCAGGTGCCACACCATGTCAGTGGGACAGTGGCCATCCTGCTGTGGCACCGGGACAGTGTGTTACTCCACGGCACAGGTGTGACACAGGGACAGTGGGGACAAGGCCACCCTCTCAGCCCTGCTCACCACAACAGCAGCTGAGAGTGCCAGGAGCTGCGGGCGCAGGAAGGTCCAGAACAGCGGCCAGTCAAAGGGGGTCTCCGGGGGGGTCTCTGGCGGCTCGGGAGCAGCGGGGGGGCCGTTGGGGACAGTGGCCTCCTGGCAGCGTGCAGCCGAGCGCAGCAGCCCCAGCAGCACGCAGCCCGTGCCCGAGCCCGCCAGCAGCAGCCGCCGGGGCGCCGGGAGGGCTGCGGGCAGCCGGGGGGGCACGGCCAGCCCCGGCCGCCCCCCATACCTGAAACTGGGGAGAGGGGAGAGAAGTGAACCTGGGGGAGTCCCCACGGATCAGCCCAGGCGCCGCAGAGTCCCCTGTCCCCCCAGCAGGAGCTGGAACCCCGGGGTCCTGGCTCCCCAGCAGGAGTTGGGGTACCCCCACCACCCCAGGGCCCGTGAGTCTGGCACTCCCCGGCCGCCGCAGGTGCCTGCTCCCCACCCCGCAGCACACCCAGAGCCGGGGTGACCCCCAAGGCGCCCGGGGTGCCCAGGACCTGCCCACGTGTGTCCCCACCCCGACTCCCGTGCGCTGCTCCGGGGAGCCCCCGAACCCCAAACCCCCCGGGAGCCCCGGCCGCCCCGCGGTCCCCCCGCAGCCATCCAGGCGTCCGGGATTCCCCGCGGGTTCCCGGCACCCCTGGCTCCCCCGCAGCCCGACTCGCAGCCCCGGGACCCCCGCGACCCCCGGGCGGGGGCTGCTCCCGGCAGAGCGGGGCTCCCGCGCTCCCGGGAGCCGAGGCTCGGGCTCCCCGGATCCCGCGCTCCCCGCTACCTGCGCCCCGCGACGGAGGGCGGCCGCAGCCGGCTCCAGGCGCCCGCCGCCCGCAGCAAGAGCACCGGCAGCGGCATGGCGGCTC